CAAGTAGATATTCGGATACTTCAGGCAAAGCAGACATCGCGGAGAACGTTGTAAGTGATGGAGATCTCTTAACTATTTCTGACATTGAGTTTAAACCAGAAGATGATTGGATTCTTGATTCAGCATGTGTGTTTCATATGTGTCCTAATAAAGACTTGCTACATATAAAACTGTTTCCAAAGGTGTCACGGTTATGGGAAACAATGCATCTTGTGGGGTTACTGGAATTGGTACAGTCAGATTGAAGCTTTTGGATGGTATAATTAGAACACTTGACTAGGTTCGACATGTTCCAGATTTGAAAAAAAATCTCATCTCGTTGTCTATCCCTGATTCAAAAGGTTATAAGTTCTTTGGTGGAGCTGGAGTTTTGAAAGTTTGTAACGATGCCCAAGTTGTATTGGATGAACAGAAGATGTCTCAGTTATACATCTTGAAGGGTCGTGCAGAACTTAAAAGAGTCAATCAGCACAGGTTCAATACCTTGGTGGACATTCAGTTTGATACAATACCTTTAAGAGCTCATAAATGGTCAGATTTGAAGAATACGATTCAATGGAGTTCAGGAGATATGGATCATGCCGCTTTGCCACCATCACCTGCGGTGTCATTATATTTTATTGCTAGGGAAGGACCCAATGGAAAACGATATGTGAATACTGATTTTATTGAGCATGCTTTAAGTGGAATAGAAGATGTACAATTTAGTAAGGGGCCTTCTTTATAAAATTATTATGATTTTTTTGGAATCTGAAATAATTCTGCAGTAGTGCTTAGATTCATTGGAAGATGTGGAGTATTGTGTTTTGTTGGAGAGATTAATTTTTTAGTTATTGTTGAAGAAATCAATTCATTCCTTGGTGGAGATTGATAGAATTTGGGTATGACTCGAATTCCTTGTTGAAGTAACTAAAGAATTCTAATTGAAGTGAACATCAAGAAGAATTCAGTTTGGAATGCTATTGGAGTCATATATCAAGTTGAAGTTCTATTTTGGAAGCTCATTGGGAGTTGGAATTTGTTTTGAACTCAATTTTTTGGTATCCTACTTCATCTACAACTCCACTAAGAGGATTTGGACATCCCTATACGTTCTCTATAAATACTATGTTCTTCTATACAATTTTATGGTGTGAGAAAATAGATTACTAGAATTATAAGATCTATTGTAATTTTTCTCTATTCTCCATTATTTTTGAGTCAATAAAATCTCTTAATTCCTCTATCATATTCTTGTCTTTATTTTTTTATTTTATTTTTTTTGATCATATATTTCATTATTATTTGCCATATAATTTCAACATCTCAATTCGGTGATTTTTTTCACAACAATTGGTATCGGAACAATTTTGGTATCTTAGTTGTTTTACAATAAGGACGGTATATTTCAGGGTGATAATCTTTTGGTGGAAACACATTCTTTATGTACGTTGAAGTTCCTTGAAAATGCAGTAAAAATTGCTGCAATTATGTCTGTCACATATGACTTCTGTTTTACTCAACTATCCGCAAAAATCTATTTTAACGTGCCATCGGGGATTTTGAAATTCCTCCATATCGAATTTTTGTTCTTTCACACTTTCAATTGAAGCACAAAACGATCCCAAGTAAGAGAAGAATGGAAAATATAACAAAAAGAAAGATGATTATCAACTTATACCTGATGTAAAGCATATAATTGCAGCTTTCTCAGGTGCCCACATATATTACTTATGTTCCACTAGGCTTCTTGAGCAATTCAGTAGTTAGATCTACACTTTTAAGAGCAGAGCTATACATGTAGATATCTTCATAATATTTTTACTCAATGTTAATTTAATTTTGGACATGGATACCAACCAGTCCCAGTGTAGTCGGCTTTATCAGGGGTATCCATTAGAATATGCCATTGCAGATATGGTACAGACCCAATGAGGAATTCAGAATGCCAGTAACCAGGGCTCAAGTCAGTGACAAGTAAGACTGGATGCACAACCTCCGTTGCCAATTTGGCCTCTTCTAAGCTCTGCAAACTGATACATATTAGTAGTGGTTAGATAAAACAATTGGCAGGTAGACAAATTGTTAGTGAATAAAACATGTTCTGAAAGGTATCTACAGGCAAAGAATTGGGGTTTCAAATCTGATAAAAAGTGATCCTGTTTACAGTTTTCAAGAAGCTCTGATTTCAATGCCCCAATTCAATGCTTAAATACAGTGTCCGTTCCTTGTAAGATTAATTAAGTGATAACTGACCGATGAAAAAGCAGAGTTAAGAAATAAGTGATCGGTTACTCGCCCACCGATAGTTGAGAGGAGCAGCAATTCCTCCTACATAAGCAATAGCAAGCATCCACTCCATGTACAAATCGCTGAAACAAAATTCAATCAGCCTTTAAAATCTCAGGTAAATGAAAGATGAACTTCAAACTGAACATGCAATTGAGTGTTTTTCAACCCTTGTGATTGGCTCATAACTCCAGACTGGAAACCAATTAGAAGGTCTCCCACTTTAGACCAATTCAAAGACAGCAGTAATAATGCCAGCAGTTAAAAGAAATTCACGGCTATGGCTCCAACAATAAGCTAAAGCTTAATTCTCTTCTTTCTTTCTTCTATCTCCAGTGCTTACAGCTCCAAATTGAGGGGATACTGCATGCAATGATGCTAATTGACAGCTTCAAAACCATACACACAGTTCCAAATCTCGACCAATTTTTCGATGAGTTGTGCGTGATGGATCCAAAACTAATTGGACATTGCTGCATTAATGGGACTCTACACTTGCAATGCACCCAGTTTTGGAATTGAATTTTCCGAAATAGAGAGAATGTTTTTCATTTATTTATTGCCATAAATGAAAATTGAAAAGAGGAAAACGGTCTCATCACGTCTAAAATTAAAATGTCGTACATTACATCCATTTATCTAAATTTCATTTAGTCAAATGCATAATTTTTCATAAATGTTTTGAACTTACTCAGCCAAGTTGTCAACTTCATTCATTTAAATTTAATCTTCAACCATGTCGTTTAACCTGTTGGGAGCAGAGATGGAGACGACGTGACCTGGCTTGAGGCCGAGTTGGATAAGCCCACGGGCCAGGCACAAAACTCCATCAACAAAATGCATGCGGGTTTTCCGCCAGACATCCATTATTGTCACCGTCGAGTTTGGATAGAGCTTCGACAGGCGACTCAAGCACTGGCAAATGTGGGCCTCCGAGAATTAGCCATGAACTTGGAGTGCAAGCTTGTAACTTCACTCTCACTGAACAAACAGGGAGATGAGCAGTCCCATTGCAGGATTGGATTATTGTAGGAGATATTACACCAATAATGTGCATATTATATTAATCAAGAGCATGTCGTTAATATGCGTGAAATCGAAACATCATTCGACTTACCGAAATCTAATTTGAGAAGATAAAATAGCAATTTACCGACTTCAAATATTATAATATGAATTCTTCACTTCCCAATATGAGTGAACGTATGTTGTTCTTCAATTCAAACCCGTCAATAAAATATATAAATAAATTAACCATATTCTGAAATCAAGCATAAATAAAATCAGAAATGAGAAAGATGAAATGTAAGTGATGCAATTGGTCAAGGCAAGTGTTTGACACTTTGTCCTTAAGATGAATTTGCCCCGCATCGGTGCTAACGGTTTCTTGGCAATCATCTCCCAAGATACAACTACCACATCAAGCCATAGGAGCACTCCAAATGGCTTAGACCAACGAACTCGAACGGAGTTCCCTCTCTACCATAACCATGATTTTGATGTAAGAAATAATCACTTCTATAAAGTGGTTTATGCAAAACTAAAATAAAATATGGAATAGAATGATATGAAATTATCACTTGAATTGTTCCTCTTTCTTGTTCTTATTGTGATCCAAACATATGGGGAATCCATATACATAGTAGTTGGAAAGGCTTGTCAAAAGATACAATCATACCAAGAGACACATCTCTTGAATATATATAATTATTGGAAGTTACTCATACCAAAAGTCATGATCTTCAAAGGTCATGATATTCCATATGAAAAGACACATCTTTTCATCTACATTATCTTTAGAATATTCCACAATATTCTACACAATTTTCCAATAATTTCAAGTATTAAGTGGTTTAAGTTTGGCTTAATTTCTCATTCACCAAATAAGGAATTTCCACTTTGGTCACAACCAATTTCCAATATGAAATTCCAACAATATTATCCACGAGAAACTGACAAATTGTTTTCTTTTTTGGGGTTTGTAGTAAAATAAAATAAACATAATACAGTAGTTGTGTTGACGTTGAATGTCCGAGTATTATTAGTGAGTCCTGCACGAATTTGATATCTTCCTTATTGATCACATGTATCATGACCTTTGAAGCTGGCGCTACTTCACCCCACATGATCATTAGTGTTGGCTTGATCGACAAAATTATGTGATTTTTCATATGTTTGAGCCCCATTTTTAGTATAGAATGCATTTTGTAATAGTAGATTGAAAAATATTTGATTAAAAATGAAGAAAAGGTTTTTGTGTTGTGTATAATATTATTTTATTGAAAAAAAGATAAATAAAAATATATTTTGACAAAAATGAGAATCAAACAATGGCATAATCATAATGCTTTTCTTGTTTATATTTAGAGACCCTTCTATTTATATTTTATGACGTCAACGGTGAACTTGAACATACTTTTGTGCCTATTCAAATATTTTCAGCCTAGTAATCATGTCAATACGGAGATGAGGTTTTGTGAATCGAGTTTTTCAAAATAAGAATATCTTATATAAACATTATATATTCTAAAATGAAAATGAAAATATAAACGAAGAAATAATTTCAAAAGAATACATGAAAAATCACAAAACATGAAAAGTTTGTTCCAAATTATCCATGGGAAGTGAAATATCATATTTATATACATCCAGGGCATGTTTGGCATTTATTACTTGGATTACAATTAACAAAACTTTCGCTTCTTCTTCAATACTGTCGACCAAACAAGCGACTATTGTTCGAGAGATATCCACTCTAGTTCTAAATCCAATTCTCCAGATTCTACATTCTGGAGTTTGAGTGAGACTGCCTGTTTCACCTTCCCATCAACAATCTTAACAGTACTATCATCTATTAGTGCATTGTCATGTGATTTCAGCCATTTTCCAATCTGCATGTTTCCAAACATTTCTGCATTTCCGAATGCCATTGCTGAGCTTATTATGGGCTGAATATCTATTTCAGCTTCCCCCATTATATCGTCCGCCGAAAATGTGTCGTAATCAAAAACTTGCTGTAGTTTAGACAATGTAAAATACCAATGCAAGGAACCAACGAAGAAAAAAAAATCTTGAGGGAAAAAAGAAAGAAGACGGGATACCAGTTTTATTGCGCCAAAATCTTGTGGAACTGAAAGCATAAGTTCCTCATTCCAGACAGGACTCAAGCTGCTCCTAACGACTGCTGTTTGTGCTTTCTAATAACAGAAAGAACCAGCATGAGAAGCTTTATAGAAGTTGATAATATATACTGGAAAAGCAAGCACTGTTATACAAGATTTATGATTTGAGCTTAGTGAGATATAGATATGTTTATTGTCCATATATTTTTTCTAGGGAAGTTCGCACAAGAAATCTATAATATTAGGACTGATGATTTACCCAAAAAGCTAATGTAGAACAAAAGGTTTGGTCCACGGTATTGAACTATACTGACAGAGATTTTAACTTCTTATCCTTCCTTAATATTGTCATTAGTGTTCAATCTACCTTACCAACCTTACCATAATTTTTTTAGCTTATCAGCATTCCATATTCAAGACAATGTGAAAAGACATGAAATAAGAATATGCTAAGCAGATCTCACAGGCCAAAAAATCAGAAGTCTGAAGTTATAATACATAGGTTCAGATTATCACCTTTTCGATCCCCCAGTTTCGGTCCCTAAAACAAAGGAAAACAGGGAATCACTAACCTGCTTCCCAAGAGTTAAGACAACATAAGGATCGCTTGACAGCATGTCTCGGACAGCTAAATTTGTGCCTTTGATTATTGTGATCTTCAACATTCCAATAAATTCCACCATGCCTTCCTGCAATTGATTTGTAACCTTAAGGGTTGTTTGACTAAGCTTTTGATAAAAGTTTTAGCAGATTTTGATAAAGATTATGAAATGGGTTAATTTCACAAATGGTCACTGAAATTACAGCAAAATAACAAAATGGTCACTGAAGTTCGANTCATTGAAGTTCGAAAATTTCATTAATGGTCACTCAACGTTCAGTCACTTTCAAAAATGGTCACTGAGGTAAGTTTTTTGACTTTTTTGTTCTAATTGAAACCTAAATTTAACAAAACACGACCCCTTCAAAATTGGAGGACCTGAAGTGCAGTTCCCTTTTTAAAAAACACCGAATTTGAAGCAAGAAGCCAAGAACAACACCATGAAGCGTATGCATCGCGTGAAGGAATTTGGGCAAAATTCAATCCGTTGATTTCATTGTTAATTGACACAATAGGATGATTACCCATGACCTTAAGACTGTCAATTGAAGGTTTGTTGGTCGAATTGAAGATTTGGGGCAGAAGAGATTCATCAAACTCGTGGGAACCAAACTTTTCGAACAGAACGCGAAGTGCAGCCACAAATTGATCGTGTTCAGAGCACAATTTTCCTTGACCCATACTTGGGCAAGGTGCGCCAGGAGGAGACGGTCCTAGCCCAAGTGGTCCGCCACCTTCATTCAACCGGACGGCGCCGGAATCAACTGAAAAACCTCTGTTATCGCGCAGCTCGCAACAGTCGGTGCTTCTGGATATAATTCAGCCTGATGAATTAATGTTTGGGCTAAATTGTTTACATGGGTAGGGTCGTCTAGGGCTGGGTTATCAACCGGTGGATGACTCCGGCCAAGTAGGTGGCCGGAAGTTGAGATTCCGGCAGTTTGCAAAAAATTAGGCAGCGAACTTTGAGTTGCATTTCTGGCCAGATTACTTGGAGTTGGGGGAAGTTCTTGGGAGTGACCATTTTGTTATTTTGCTGTAATTTCAATGACCATTTGTGAAATTAACCCATTATGAAATGTGCGATTGAAAAGTAGATAAAAACTGTGGGTCCATTAAAATTAAAGTTTGATCGGTCAAAATGTAGATAAAATTCAGCATAATATTATCAAACGGGCACTTAAATACAGAAATAGTAATTCACAGAAGCACCAAGAAGCCAGTGAAATCTGTAACATCTTATCTTAATTAACTTTTGACATTTACTTTCAGGGAACATATTTTTGGCCAGTCTAGTTATTGTGATGTAGATTTAGGCGGTGTTTGATTCCCATTTTTCCCAAATTATATTTTCCTCTCTTCTTTTCAAACACACATTTTTCATTAAAATAATATTACACGCAAATAAAAAAAATTCCTTCTTTTTTCATCACACATTCTCCATCAATCTACTGTTCCAAAATACATTCTTCAAAACTAATGGGGCTCAAACACCCCCTTAAGAAAGACCAGTAAAAAAAAGGACACCAGCAGAATGTGGAGAATAGAGATGAGCAGCTGTGTAAACCTTAATGCAGAAAATTTTGTCATTGGAGGACTGTCAGCAAGAAGATATATATTCCAATAAGGCGATGGCTTGAAACAAGGTGAACCAAAAAATAAAATCTCTGGGAAAGAAGTACTGTGCGGAAGGGGCACAAACAAGGGAAGAGGACTTACTGATTGCTGCGATGACGAACTTGAACTTTGAAAATTATTCATAATCTTCTTAGACAAACTTGCTTGCAAAGAGCCCTTTTTAGAAGCTGATGTAATACGTAGGCTAGGTTTCAAGAATTCTTGAAGCTCGTACTTGGACCTAGATGACAAAAATGGAACAACATAAACATGAAACCTGAACACCACACGAACCTTGCACTCGTCCATGCAAAAAACTCAGGAACCCAGTTCTGTCTCATGATGAGGACCTTTCTTAAGGAATATATAGATGCAAGAGCTGAACTTATGATTTGATAGAACAGAATGTTCAACATGATAATCATTGAAGAAAGAAGAAAATGCCTGGTCAGAGTGACACAACAAATCTCAACTACATATTACTCGGTGAGACATGGCAGGTGGATTAACAAAAAGTATCATAAATAACAAACAGGTCTTCACCAGAGAGAAAAAGAGAACCAGCACAAGAAGAAAGCATAAAACTTATAGTGCTTCTATGTTTGACCAGACCTGATAAATTTTGAACGCTCTTCATGGCTAGCATCTGGTCGAGGTTTCGAGACTCCTTCAGGAAGGTAAGCCTCATAAATTGAATTAGCGGAAGCATTTCCTCCAACCTCAATCAGTGCATCAATTTCATCATCAGACCATTCATCTAAAGTCACAGACAAAACCTGTATCATACAAAAAATTTGGTGGAAATATAAGGAGTAAAAGATTATAAAAAGTACGAGTGTGAGAGATAGAAGATGGTGGAAGAAAAAAAGAGCTGAGAAAGTCACCTTCGAAATATGTGTACCAAGGCTTCTATGCGCACCGCAACACTTTAAGCAAATAAATACTCCAATGTTTACAGACCTGAACATGCCATGTAAAACATTTACAAGTAGAAATAACAAATAAAAAAAAAAGATTCAAATTACAGTATTTACATGAGTTCTTTTTTGAATAATGACAAATGCATAAAGGCGAGCTTGAATTCTAAACCCTTTAAGGTAAGCAAGCAACAAGTACTAGTTTCGCCATGCTTAAGTGGTGTTACGAATAATCTAGCGAGAGAGAAAAAAAATCAGAAGGAAACTAGAGTGGAACTTACGCCCATTTTGGATCTGGAGCACCACAGTCTGCACAAACACGGTTATCGCGTTGAATCAAAAGATCTTTCAATCTTCTTTGGCCTGTACATACATTATTCATCAAAAGAATAAAGAGAAGCCAAGAACTAATTAACAACCTATAATACCCGAAAAAGAATAATGAACACAAACCAATTAGCAACAAAATGTTTTAGAACCAATTTAGCACTTGTTTGGTAGTGATTAAAATTCAGATTTTAATCTAAGCCAAAGTTAGCAATCAACTTTAACCACATATTTCATCAACTTTTATCAAAATATACTAAAAATCCAATTTTAATTTCCACCAAACAGGGGCTTAATGCAAAGCAATCACCATAAGCCTGTGAAATTTGATTTTGAAGTGAAAGTGATCCATGATTCCATGTTACCATAGTGTCACGAGAAGCACACTCATCAGGATGCAAAGAGCTTGGCAAACAATGTCCATTTCATGAAGAAAAGGTCTGTTCCATTATTATGTCCATTATGTACGTGTAATGCAGTGCCTTCGCCCACAATTGATGAAGTCAATGCACTATATTCATTATTAAGTTCTTAACAGAATCCACAAGGTGCACAATACACATGCATCATCGCATTGTTCTTTAAAATAGGTTAATAAATTCAACTCAAGCTTTATGTGAAAGGCTAGTGAATTATAGCAGTTCTTTTCTTACAATTTGAACCTGAAATGCACGAATTGATATTCAGTACCCTGTACCCACAAGTTCCAGATAAAATAAAACCATACCTGAAGTTGGTCTCCCTAGCTGGCTCATTGCTCTGCTAATACACCACTACCATTCAACTAAACTAGTCTTTATTAATAATAACCTGCAAATAGCGACCAATTAAGAAGGTAAAGAGCATAAGTTTCATCACTCCGTATATGAATTTGCTTATATACAATTTACGAGAATATCTAAATACAAGCAAGCAAAAACTCTGCAGAGTATTTTCCCGGTTAAGCTGGCAAAAAAAACCATACATCAAACACTTCGAATCAAAATTCTAGAACAATCAAATAAAATGAATCCTAACAAGCATATATATCTGAATTTTACAGAATTGAAACAGAAATCGAGTTTCACGATGCAATGTAAGAACACCTAAGATCATGTAATAGAAACATAAACCAAGGGCTAGAACATTAATACAAATAATGTCACAAAATCTAAGCATCCGAATCTTCCTCAGGAACCCATAAATCAAATTTTATTATATGTTAAAGAAATGATCATGAAATACGATCAGAATAGTAACACAACGATTGAGTCAATCCAGCCAAAAAAAAATTATCATTGATTTTAATGCTAATCAAACCTTTAAAAAAAAAACTTGTGGCAACAATTATGAAATCAGATTGACACGTACCGTTAATTTTCAGCTGTAATTGATTAAAGATCTGAGAAAAGAGAGTGAGCAATTGTTACCTTATATATTCAGGAGTTTCTGAGATTCGCTCAGTTAGAATTAATAATGGAAAATCGACAAAGAAAGATGAAAGGCGAACTGAGGTGCCATTTATTTGTTTTGAAATTAAAGTAAACTGCCTTTACGATGGGATTGCACCTTTTGCTAATGAAAAGATATATGGGGCTGTCTGACTGTGATTTCTCCCAAACCAAATCGATTAATGGACCGTTGGGTACCAGTTTGCAGCCAAATTTGACTTCATCAAAATCAAATGTCAAAAATGCCCTGTTTGATGGTAAAATGATTTTTGAGGTAATGGCAAAAAGGTCATTTTGCCATAAATTTTTAAAAAGAATGGCTGCCATGTCAGTGTACTGCAAATTAGATGACAAGCAACGATCCTTTTTATCTTATNAATTAGATGAAAAGGAACGGTCCATTTTAGCTTATTCCAACGGTCCAATTTTCACTAGGTAGTGCTACCAGACAGCCTCATAATTGTACCTTTTTGCCCTTTTAATCCTTCCTTCTATCTTTGGTAAATTGATCTAGGCTCCTACCTTACAAAAGTGCGATATTCATGTCCCAACCTTCCGTTTGTAACATTCAGAACCTCATCGTTTTAACTCTTTGCATGCAAACAACGGAAAACATATATATAAACATCAAGGACCGTGCTACAAGTACATAATACATTACATAATTGACATGTGGCGCGCATCTATCAGTAGTCTACAATTTTTGACTTTTCAAATTAGATGAAAAGGAACGGTCCATTTTAGCTTATTCCAACGGTCCAATTTTCACTAGGTAGTGCTACCAGACAGCCTCATAATTGTACCTTTTTGCCCTTTTAATCCTTCCTTCTATCTTTGGTAAATTGATCTAGGCTCCTACCTTACAAAAGTGCAACATTCATGTCCCCACCTTCCGTTTGTAACATTCAGAACCTCATCGTTTTAACTCTTTGCATGCAAACAACGGAAAACATATATATAAACATCAAGGACCGTGCTACAAGTACATAATTATTTACATAATACATTACATAATTGACATGTGACGCGCATCCATCAGTAGTCTACAATTTTTGACTTTTCCACACTTTACATCCACTGTCGGATTTCTTCCACATAGACCTATGTAATCCATTATGTATAATAATTATGTACATATAGATTTATCCAAACATCAAATGGCAATGCAACAACTACGGAAAACGTATATTTAAACGTTCAAATTGACAGAATATCTTTTTGTAGACAATTTTATCTTTTTAATTAGACATGGCATGCATGTCGCATGATAATTTAACATTTAAATAAAAGTTTTTCATCAGATGAGGATATTAATTGCACGACGTTAAAAGGTTACGGACATGGTGGCACAAATGAAAGATCGGTGACATAACTATCACACATACGAAATATTGGGAACCATTAGATGGATTTATCTTAAACTATGAAGCTTTTGATGATGAAGTCGAGAACCTTCTATTTGTAGCACCGCAAGTTCCTAACCTATGAAAACAAAAACATCAATTTAACAGTTAAAAAAATAATATTTTAAATAGGTAATTATATTTTTATTTCTTACGCCACATTTTAATTGTACTTGAAGTTCTTAATCTTTACTCATTATAACACTTATATTTATAACGATTTTTCATATCATTCTTATCCTCAATTTTTTTATTAGTTTATAAATTTTATATTTGGTTATATCAAAAAGTCTGTTCAAATGGCGTAAAACAACTTATTTTTCATCATATTTTTTAAGATAAGTAAATAAAAAATGCTGAAAAATATAATAGAAAAATCATTGATCCGTGTAGACCTAACGCAGTAGATTCTTTGCCGTGCATTCTTTTTTAAGTCCAACTTAATCCAGTTTAATATATCAAACATAAATAAGAAAAGAAATAACATAAATATAAGTGGGGCCACAGAATTATGTCAAGAATGCATGTCTCTCAATTCATTTTCGAGCCCAAAAAAAATCAATTTATTCATCAACTGCAGGTAAAGATGAATACAAAGTGCCTGTCAATAGACTTCAACGTGCCATTGCTTGTTCTTTTTCAGTTGTGAAAGCTTTTCATCCCAGTGTTCTCCTCTCTGTCCTGCAACCCTTTTCAGAGTATCTTGAATCCCAGGCATCATTCCCTTAAGCCCACAGAAATAAATATGTGCTCCACCATCCAAAAGTTTAAAAATCTCATCACTGTACTCTTCAATTTTATCCTGAACATACATTTTGCCTCCACTCTTGTTCTTCTGCTCTCGACTAAGGGCTCGGTCATACCGGAAATTATCTGGGTAGCCGTGAAGATACTGAGAGAATTCATCGTCATATAGAAGACTGTCCCTGTTGGCCACCCCGAGGAAAAGCCAAGCAAGGCCACCAAACTTGAATGTGGGAACAGACTCCATGAACATACGACGAAGATAACCTCTGAAAGGAGCCACGCCAGTACCAGTTGCGATCATAATATGGGTGGCATTAAGATCGTCTTCAGGCAGAAGCATTATCTTGCCAGAAGGACCTGTCGAAATAATCACACCGGATCAGCATCATAGAAAAGGGTACCTCATAAAAAAACAAATTATCATATCAATTAGAACGTCTGCCATATAGAAGCACATTTTCCTAAGCTTAAAAGTTACTTCTACGCAACTTCCTTTGCCAAACATGCTTCTGTTGTCTTAAGTTGCATTTTTTTATAGTTTTTGTCAAAAACTTACAGAAGCAAGTCGTCAGAAAGGACTTCTAATTTTTTCTTTTAGCTTGGCAAATACACTCACGATCTAGTTTAAGGCAGGCCTAGCAATTACAAGATCAAATCATTGGTGATAACCTATAACTCAAGTAGGCAATTATTAAGTCTCAACAAAATCGATTGACAGAAAATGCTGACAATCTTCTAATCAGACAAGGCTTGCCTGGGTCTATGAAAAGAGACAAATATGCATGTGATAGGATTTCAAATATCTCAATATGGTGTCACGCTCACTAAACAATTAAATCTTACCTGTGATATGGACTTTGTCTCCAGGCTTCGAATCACACAAAAAGTTGCTGCATACACCTTTTTTCGTAGGATCTTCTTTTCCAGTCTCAGGATCAAAATAGACTGCACGCCGAACGCACAAAGTTGCTGTCTTGCCATCAAAATAGTCTCCATACCTGGTAGACGCTATTGAGTATAGACGAACATTGTGTGGACTACCAGGCTTTTTAGGGTTCTCGCCCTGAAATGAAATATAGGATATATATAAGTTCAGAGAAACGTGAACTCGGCATAGGAACTACATTATAATACTGTATTCTTATGCTAAGAAAAAAGGCGGACTACATGGCTCAAAAACAACACAAAATAAAATCCACTACGTTCTGAAAGAAGTAGCTATGGACAGAACGTAATGGCAAAAGAATTATATATGCAGCCAACAGAAAATACATTGGGAAAAAGGCTTAGTTGTGTTAAAAATTAGCCAAGATCTTTTGGGCATTGCTTTGTCTTTTGTGACACTATACACCCTACTAGTCCAACAGTGGAATACAAGGTTAAAAACTTTAGCAAGAGCCAAAACCAAGGGTTTTCAAAGGAAGGGGTTGGATAATATAGCCTAATTTGGATGATAAACCTTTATGGCATATTTGGTAATGTGGATTCGTAGCATTGAATATTATTAAGTAAAGAAACCGAAATCTTGTTCATTGTAGAGTAAAGCTTCATCCAATTCTCTACACTGAACATGGCTTTAGTCAATAAAATGTGATGAACATGCACCAAGAGGGTTTTAAAATATACAGGAGGAATGATGCCATAGCTTTGTCCTTCCCAATAGGGCACATTGCCACCATGATCAATCACGACATGACACGTCTCCCCAGGTGAATTTGGGCCAACAAGCCTTTCAACAGAGACAATGGTTCCAGTATATGGTTCCTTGTTCTTGTACAAATGTAGAGGAGGCACTTTCACATCTTCTAATGTCAAAGGTTGAACTGCAACTTTAGGTTTGATAACCTCTTGCACTGACGTGCAAACCACAAATTGACTTCTTGATCGAGCGTTTGCAGTTTTCAAGTCCAAGCGTGAGGCAGAAGTCCATGATTTATCATGAAATGTCACGTTATTTGTCTGAAAATTAAATGAGAAAGTAGTATTATTCCAAGGATAACTATAGACACAAAACAAACAAACAAACAAAATAATATCATCTGTGCAATCAGAAGGAATAAGAAACATTGCACATAGATAAAATGCATTTAACTCGATTTCCATACAAATCAAACTAGCTTCAGCCAAATAACATTGAGAGAAAACAGAGAAAGTGTCATGAAAAAAAAAAAAAAGCAGAGCAAATAAGTTTGAAAAAATGAAATGTAATGAGGTTAAAATATAGGATTGTTAGCTTTATCTTCACAAACGCAAGTATGGCAATTATCTGCCCAAGTCCTTGATTTTCATATATGCATAACTAAGACTAGAACCATACTTAAAGTATGGTCGAATTAATGAAGCAAGTGTTCTTTGGAAAAATTATGGCAGTACAAAAGATATTAGCTACTCAGAGGCCCCGATAGAAAATATAATCACTGCAGCTACAATTAAAGGTGGCTCATTAAGTACACACATGAGATCATAGGATATACACATCGAACAAGTACACGCTAATGGGTTAAAAACACTTCCAGGCGCCCAGCGATTTCACTTTGGTCACTAAACATTTATTTGTTCCAGCTCCAAGTCAGTCACTAGACTATTATTTTTGTTTTAGTTTAGGCACCACATTTTACTTAATTAATAGAAATACTGATGCAGCTATGAAACTGATGAGGTAGCATGCAAACTCTATTGGTACATTATTTACATCTTCCAACATGGCAAAAAAGCGCATTGTTGGACAAGTCGTGCTTCGAAATGTATTTTGATAAAGAACAGAAAAAAAAAACGAAGAAAGCACAAGTTGTGAAACAAAATGCATTCTTGCTTGAATGGACGTTAAAAATAAAACACCAACATACTTTTCATGCTACATCACCATTTCAATTTATTCAACAACCAGAGACGGATGGAATGGACTGACTAATTTGAAGAAAGAAAGTTCAATGACTAAAATGAAAAATCCCTAAACTTGAAGGTCAAATCATCATCTTCGAATCCGAATACCAAATAAAAGCTACCAAATTGAACGTCCAAACACGAAATTCACAGATTATTAAAGGGTAATTAAGGACCTTTAACACGGATCTTCGGATAGAGGAATCGCCATTGATAGGGACCGCAACCGGGACCTACAAGAAAATCCAAAACTTGTCACCCATTTAAATAAAGCAAGTCCGGAAAACATAAAAAAGGGCAAATAACTTGTAAGTAACCTGAGAGAGAGCTGAGTGAGCCATGATCTGATCAAATATACTCTTCAGAATAGATGAATATGTAAGTATAAACTTGACTATTTTCAGGAGATATCAAATGCAGAGAAATGGAGGAGGTTTGTATATAGGAGATTGGGGGGGGGGGGGGGGGG